GGGGGGCGTGGCCTCCTGGTGGCGTCCTCAGTGTTGAACCTCGGGGGGGCGGAGCTGGAATGATTGTAAATCTGTAAGTTCCCCTGTAAACTGTGTCTGTGGGGATTTCCTGAACACATTAATAAACACGATTCGATCCAACAGCCCTGGAATGGCTCCGCCCCTTTTTCTGACCGGACAGATTCCACCTCTTTTCTCAATGGACAAACTCCGCCCCTTACCTGACCAGACAGATTCCACCTCTTTTCTCAATGGACAAACTCCGCCCCTTTTCTCACTGTACAGACTCCGCCCCTTTTCTCTGGACAGACTCCGCCCATTTTCTGACTGGACCGTTTCCCAAAAGCCTTTTGATTTGTGCAATTAAAGTCTGTTGGTGGTTTCCCGGCTGTTTGTGGTCCCTAAAACCGCCTCCAGACGAAGACCATCTCCACTAAAAGTCGCTTTTTTGGAGGTTTCCTGGTTTTAATCCCCAAATAAAACACTTTGCTTTGGTCTCAGGTCACCAAATGGACATTAAAGGACACATTTCCTCCTAAAACCAAACCCAGAATGTAATTTCTGGCTAATCATCCACTCAGATTTAATTTCCATCCTTCAGCTTTCAGTTCACGTGTCCCTCCACCAGGTGGCGCCACACTTAAAACTATATATAAATAAGTCATCATTATATAATAACGAGGAGCCTCATGAATTTAAATAGAATTAGAGTTTTGAAATATGCAAAAGAGAACAATCAACTATTAAAAAAAAAAAACCATGGCATCCCACAGGGGTCAAAATACTGAGAAAAATAAGACATTTAACCAACCCCAAAAACCAATGTAGGAGAAGAATTAATGGAACACTGATGTAATTTCAGCTAAGAAAACAGCTTAATAAAGCCTGAAATGAACAAAACAATAATAAATGAGTAACTAGATAAAGTAACAGATAAACAAACAAATAAACAGATAAACAATCAAACAAATGAACTGTTAAACAGAAAAAAATTAATTGATAAGCAAACAAACTGATAAACCATCGAACAAATGAACAGCTAAACAAAGAAATAAAAGTAAAAATGAATAGATAAAAGAAAAGCTAAGCAAATAAAAGTAAACATTAATAGATAAACAAACGAACAGTTAAACAAACAAACAGATAAACAGATGTACAAATGAACTGATAAACAAACGAATAAACAAAAGTAAAAATGTATAGATAAACAAATGAAAAGTTAAACAAACAAATAAACAAAGTAAACATTTATAGATAAACAAATTAAAAGTAAACAAACACAGACAAACAAACAAACAAACAGATAAACAGACGTACAGATGAACAAATTAAAAGATAAACCAAACAAATGAACTGATAAACAAACAAACAAACAAAAGTAAAAATGAATAGATTAATGAAAAGTTAAACAAACACAGATAAACAGACGTACAAATGAACAAATAAAAAGATAAACCATAAACCAAACAAATTAACTGATAAACAAACAAACAAATAAAAGTAAAAATTAATAGATTAATGAAAAGTTAAACAAACACAGGTAAACAGACGTAACATTTACAGATAAATAAATAAATAAATAGATAAACCATCAAACAAATAGACTGATAAACAAACAAACAAACAAATCTCGGAGCGGAAGAATGACCAGAGGAAACAAAATGGCGCCCGTCCCTGCGGTGAGGAGCACTCGGCGGGTTCACCTGGAGGTCCCGGCCGGTGGCCGCAAACAGGAAGGCCTCTTCCCTCCGGGGGGCGGGGCTTAGGGCACACCTGCCATTTAGGCCCCGCCCCCTCCACCGGCAGGTTTCTGGTCGGAGAGCGAAACGGACAGAAGGGAACCAAGACCAGTCCGCTTACAGGTGAGTGGACCAGCCGAACCGGGTCAGCAGAACCGAACCGGGCCGGACCGGACCTGGTCAGCCGACGGGGGGCGGAGTCAGACCGGGGTTCGTTTTTTCACGCAGTTTCGCTCCAAATTCCAGTTGTTGTTGTTGTTTCAGATCCGGTTCCGGAACCAGCTGAACCGGGACTCCACGATCCAGCCGGACCGGAAGTAAACACGGAACCGGGTCAGTTCTGGTGGGTTTAGTAGCTTCTGGGTCCGGCTCGGTTCGGTTCTGGTCCTGACCCGGTCCAGTTCACGGAACCCGGTCAGAGTCTAGTCTGACCCACTTCAATAAATCCCACTTTAGTTTGAACCATCCAGAGACGATCCAGAAGGAACCAGAACCAGAACCAGTACCCGGGTACCAGAACTGTCCAGAACCAGAACCGGGAGGGGACTTCCTCCATCAGAACCAGAACCGGGACCTCCATCAGAACCAGAACCAGGAAGAATCCTCCATCAGAACCAGGACCTCCAT